CACCGGACACAGTTCCAGAGCCACACCGGACACAGTTCCAGAGCCACACCGGACACAGTTCCAGGACCACACACCGGACACAGTTCCAGAGCCACACCGGACACAGTTCCAGGACCACACACCGGACAAAGTTCCAGAGCCACACCGGACACAGTTCCAGAGCCACACCGGACACAGTTCCAGGACCACACACCGGACACAGTTCCAGAGCCACGCCGGACACAGTTCCAGGACCACACACCGGACACAGTTCCAGAGCCACACCGGACACAGTTCCAGGATCACACACCGGACACAGTTCCAGAGCCACACCGGACACAGTTCCAGAGCCACGCCGGACACAGTTCCAGAGCCACGCCGGACACAGTTCCAGAGCCACACCGGACACAGTTCCAGAACCACACCGGACACAGTTCCAGAGCCACACACCGGACACAGTTCCGGAGCCACGCCGGACACAGTTCCAGGACCACACACCGGACACAGTTCCAGAGCCACGCCGGACACAGTTCCAGGACCACACACCGGACACAGTTCCAGAGCCATGCCGAACACAGTTCCAGAGCCATGCCGAACACAGCTCCAGGACCACACACCGGACACAGTTCCAGAGCCACACCGGACACAGTTCCAGAGCCACACACCGGGCACAGTTCCAGAGCCACACACCGGACACAGTTCCAGAACCACACCGGACACAGTTCCAGGACCACACACCGGACACAGTTCCAGAGCCACACCGGACACAGTTCCAGAGCCACACCGGACACAGTTCCAGGACCACACACCGGACACAGTTCCAGAGCCACGCCGGACACAGTTCCAGAGCCACGCCGGACACAGTTAAAGAGCCACGCCGGACACAGTTCCAGAGCCACACCGGACACAGTTCCAGGACCACACACCGGACACAGTTCCAGAGCCACACCGGACACAGTTCCAGGATCACACACCGGACACAGTTCCAGAGCCACACCGGACACAGTTCCAGAGCCACGCCGGACACAGTTCCAGAGCCACGCCGGACACAGTTCCAGGACCACACACCGGACACAGTTCCAGAGCCACACCGGACACAGTTCCAGGACCACACACCGGACACAGTTCCAGAGCCACGCCGGACACAGTTCCAGGACCACACACCAGACACAGTTCCAGAGCCACACCGGACACAGTTCCAGGACCACACACCGGACACAGTTCCAGAGCCACACCGGACACAGTTCCAGAGCCACGCCGGACACAGTTCCAGGACCACACACCGGACACAGTTCCTGAGCCACACACCGGACACAGTTCCAGGACCACATACCGGACACAGTTCCAGAGCCACACCAGACACAGTTCCAGAGCCACACCGGACACAGTTCCAGGACCACACACCGGACACAGTTCCAGAGCCACACCGGACACAGTTCCAGGACCACACACCGGACACATTTCCAGAGGCACACCGGACACAGTTCCAGGACCACACACCGGACACAGTTCCAGAGCCACACCGGACACAGTTCCAGGATCACACACCGGACACAGTTCCAGAGCCACACCGGACACAGTTCCAGAGCCACGCCGGACACAGTTCCAGAGCCACGCCGGACACAGTTCCAGGACCACACACCGGACACAGTTCCAGAGCCACACCGGACACAGTTCCAGGACCACACACCGGACACAGTTAGAGCCACGCCGGACACAGTTCCAGAGCCACGCCGGACACAGTTCGGGACCACACACCGGACACAGTTCCAGGACCACATACCGGACACAGTTCCAGAGCCACACCGGACACAGTTCCAGAGCCACGCCGGACACAGTTCCAGGACCACACGCCGGACACAGTTCCAGGACCACACACCGGACACAGTTCCAGAGCCACGCCGGACACAGTTCCAGAGCCACACCGGACACAGTTCCAGAGCACGCCGGACACAGTTCCAGAGCCACGCCGGACACAGTTCCAGAGTCACACCGGAAACAGTTCCAGAGCCACGCCGGACTCAGTTCCAGGACCACACACCGGACACAGTTCCAGGACCACACACCGGACACAGCTCCAGGACCACACACCGGACACAGTTCCAGAGCCATGGACACAGTTCCAGAGCCACACACCGGACACAGTTCCAGGACCACACACCGGACACAGTTCGAGCCACGCCGGACACAGTTCCAGAGCCACGCCGGACACAGTTCCAGGACCACATACCGGACACAGCTCCAGGACCACACACCGGACACAGTTCCAGGACCACACACCGGACACAGTTCCAGGACCACATACCGGACACAGTTCCAGGACCACACACCGGACACAGTTCCAGAGCCACGCCGGACACAATTCCAGGACCACACACCGGACACAGTTCCAGAGCCACGCCGGACACAGTTCCAGAGCCACACCGGACACAGTTCCAGAGTCACGCCGGACACAGTTCCAGAGCCACGCCGGACACAGTTCCAGGACCACACACCGGACACAGTTCCAGAGCCATGCCGAACACAGTTCCAGGACCACACACCGGACACAGTTCCAGAGCCACACCGGACACAGTTCCAGAGCCACACACCGGACACAGTTCCAGAGCCACACACCGGACACAGTTCCAGGACCACACACCGGACACAGTTCCAGAGCCACGCCGGACACAGTTCCAGGACCACATACCGGACACAGTTCCAGGACAACACCGGACACAGTTCCAGAGCCACGCCGGACACAGTTCCAGGACCACACACCGGACACAGTTCCAGAGCCACGCCGAACACAGTTCCAGGATCACATCGGACACAGTTCCAGGGCCACACACCGGACACAGTTCCAGAGCCACGGACACAGTTCCGGAGCCACGCCGGACACAGTTCCAGAACCACACCGGACACAGTTACAGTGCCACGCCGGACACAGTTCCAGAGCCACACCGGACACAGTTCCAGAGCCACGCCGGACACAGTTCTAGAGCCACGCCGGACACAGTTCCAGGACCACACACCGGACACAGTTCCAGAGCCATGCCGAACACAGTTCCAGGACCACACACCGGACACAGCTCCAGGACCACACACCGGACACAGTTCCAGAGCCACACCGGACACAGTTCCAGGACCACACACCGGACACAGTTCCAGAGCCACACCGGACACAGTTCCAGAGCCACACCGGATACAGTTCCAGAGCCACGCCGGACACAGTTCCAGGACCACACACCGGACACAGTTCCAGAACCACACCGGACACAGTTCCAGGACCACACACCAGACACAGTTCCAGAGCCACACCGGACACAGTTCCAGAGCCACACCGGACACAGTTCCAGGACCACACACCGGACACAGTTCCAGAGCCACACCGGACACAGTTCCAGGACCACACACCGGACACAGTTCCAGAGCCACACCGGACACAGTTCCAGGACCACACCGGACACAGTTCCAGAGCCACACCGGACACAGTTCCAGGACCACACACCGGACACAGTTCCAGAGCCACACCGGACACAGTTCCAGGACCACACACCGGACACAGTTCCAGAGCCACACCGGACACAGTTCCAGAGCCACGCCGGACACAGTTCCAGAGCCACGCCGGACACAGTTCCAGGACCACACCGGACACAGTTCCAGGACCACACACCGGACACAGTTCCAGGGCCACACACCGGACACAGTTCCAGAGCCACACCGGACACAGTTCCAGGACCACACACCGGACACAGTTCCAGAGCCACGCCGGACACAGTTCCAGGACCACACACCGGACACAGTTCCAGAGCCACACCGGACACAGTTCCAGAACCACGCCGAACACAGTTCCAGGACCACACACCGAACACAGTTCCAGGACAACACTGGACACAGTTCCAGAGCCACACCGGACACAGTTCCAGGACCACACACCGGACACAGTTCCAGAGCCACACCGGACACAGTTCCAGGACCACACACCGGACACAGTTCCAGAGCCACACCGGACACAGTTCCAGAGCCACGCCGGACACAGTTCCAGGACCACACACCGGACACAGTTCCAGAGCCACACCGGACACAGTTCCAGGACCACACACCGGACACAGTTCCAGAGCCACGCCGGACACAGTTCCAGAGCCACACCGGACACAGTTCCAGAGCACGCCGGACACAGTTCCAGAGCCACGCCGGACACAGTTCCAGAGTCACGCCGGAAACAGTTCCAGAGCCACGCCGGACACAGTTCCAGGACCACACACCGAACACAGTTCCAGGACAACACTGGACACAGTTCCAGAGCCACACCGGACACAGTTCCAGGACCACACACCGGACACAGTTCCAGAGCCACACCGGACACAGTTCCAGGACCACACACCGGACACAGTTCCAGAGCCACACCGGACACAGTTCCAGAGCCACGCCGGACACAGTTCCAGGACCACACACCGGACACAGTTCCAGAGCCACACCGGACACAGTTCCAGGACCACACACCGGACACAGTTCCAGAGCCACGCCGGACACAGTTCCAGAGCCACACCGGACACAGTTCCAGAGCACGCCGGACACAGTTCCAGAGTCACGCCGGAAACAGTTCCAGAGCCACGCCGGACTCAGTTCCAGGACCACACACCGGACACAGTTCCAGAGCCACGGCGGACACAGTTCCAGAGCCACAACGGACACAGTTCCAGAGCCACGCCGGACACAGTTCCAGAGCCACGCCGGACACAGTTCCAGAGCCACACGTTGGCGACAACACAATGTGACACCATGTGAAATTACTTACAATAAATACCATTCACAACAAAATCTACACACACATTATCTTACATTATTAAATAGTGCACACATACCTTACGTATTGCTTAGTAGGTACCAATTTCTTCATTCAAGGTAGCTACATTCTACATTCATTCTAGGTAGCTGTAAGTTGCAAATGTAATTATTTTCACATAACGCAAACAAAGCGAAGCACCCACAGCGTGCGCTTTGCCTCAAAGAGAACAGAACGGAAAATAGCCACTAACCCTTTGGAGGAGTCGTGGAGCCCACTCGGCTCGGCCAGTCTGGCCGTGTGGCCTCTGCGGAACACACCAGTGCAGGGACGCTAGCATACAGCTCGAGGAGGGGGAGGGGGTTCGGCCCCCCGGCCAGCCAAGCAGCCGCAGGTGACCCACACCGAGCGCCGCTACTCTATTTGAATGAGTACACAAGTTCACCAGGTACAGATACATTCAGGCAACACAACACGCAAACAGCAAAATAGTAATCGGCAACTAATGCACTTTTGATTGGTCATATTACTTTCAAGTGACGATGGAATTAACTTAACGAATGATTTCATTTGCATTATTTAGCGGTCGGCTTAAATCTTTACCACATGCCGAGATATCCCTTTAGTATTAGCACGTGATTTTGGGAAAAGCTTTCGGACCGGCTGTGGCTAATGTTTAAGGTATTTGGGAAACGATTTCGGACCGTGGTCATTTTGATTTTCCCAGACAAAGTTTTACTGAATATTCTGAGCGGAAGAACCAAATTCAAAGAAGATATTTACGGATTGTGTGTTCACTAACAGCAACAGCAGAAGTGAGCAAAATTAAGTGACGGCGTTTTCACTTACTTTTGCTGTCAACGTAATTCAACTGAACAAGGGTAGGTATCGTTTCAATGCCAATGTATTTATTGCTGCATAACATGGTCAGAGTACCTACCTACTCATTATTACAACAAAATGCACGCAAAAAACGAACACTTTAAATGCGCGAAGCATCTTAACGAGCCACATTGAAACATTTGGATATTGTTCCAGCTGGGATCTAAGACGCGTTTGATTCAGCGTTTCACCCAATTTTCAGTTTTCCTCACGGTTTCCTCACTCCTGTTGGACTCCATATCTTTATAGTTTATTCTAACTTCTGGCGCTTCACCATCTTCATCCTCAGCTTTTTCAAACCCTAAATAAGGTAAAAGTAGGGAATTTCATCTTTCATACTCAACGGCCCAATAATGAAAAACACAAAAAATAATCGCGGTGACTGAACATAGTATTAATAGAATATTAACACCATCTTAAGAATATAATATATAATACCAAATGAATATGATATTAACTGTTGCGCCGGTACGGCATGTGGTAATATATATTCCCGACCGGGGCTGGGAAAATGCGTTTTATTCACCGAGGTTTTGTGCGGAGGACCGAGTGCCGGTAGGCACGAGGTCCCTAGCAAAAACCGAGGTGAATAAAACTGCATTTTCACAGCCCAAGGTTGGGAAGAGATTTACCACATGCCGTACCGGCGCAACAGTTAATATCATATTCATTTGGTATTATATTTTATGTTCTTAATATGGTGTTAATATTCTATTAATACTATGTTCATCTCTATCGTCACCGTGATTATTTTTTTCATTCTTGGGCGGCGTTGAGTATGAAAGATGAAATTCCTACTTCCCCCTTATTTAGGGTTTGAAAAAGCTGAGGATGAAGATGGTGAAGCGCCAGAAGTTAGAATAAAGATATGGAGTCCAGCAGGAGTGAGGAAACCGTGAGGAAAACTGAAAATTGGGTGAAACGCTGAACCAAACGCGTCTTGGATCCCAGCTGGAACAATATCAAATGTTTCATTGTGGCACGTTAAGATGCTTCACGCATTTAAAATGATCGTTTTTTGCGTGCATTATGTAGAAATAATTATTATTCCGATTTCCGACCATGTTCTGCAGCAATAAATACATTGGCATTGGAACGATAAACTTGTTTAGTTGAATTACGTTGACAGCAAAAGTAAGTAAACACGCAGTCACTTACTTTTGCTGTTGCTGTTAGTGAACACACAATCCGTAAATATCTTCTTTGAAATTGGTTCTTCCGCTCAGAATATTCAGTAAAATTTTGTCTGGGAAAATCAAAAAGCCCTAGGGCCGAATCGTTTCCCAAATACCTTCAACATTAGCCGAGGCGGGCCGAAGCCATTTCCCAAATGCACGTGCTAATGTTAAAGGGATATCTCGGCATGTGGTAAATCTCTTCCCAACCTTGGGCTGTGAAAATGCAGTTTTATTCACCTCGGTTTTTGGCTACGGACCTCGTGCCTACCGGCACTCGGTCCTCCGCAAAAAACCTCGGTGAATAAAACGCATTTTCCCAGCCCCGGTCGGGAATATATATTCTTAACCCGCGCTTGGCGCGCTTGGCCTATCCTTCAATTATTGGTATTGATAAAAAGACGGAATACCTACAACCAAATTACCTAAAAGCGAATAACTGCCTTTTTGTAGACATAAGGTTCAAGCTCTCTAGAGACCTTTCTTTTCTTTGATGTAAGGTAGGTAGACTTCCCATTTAACGTTTTTGACGCAATTTCATGTTCATGAAAAACGACATACCTACTTCAAAAGAAGAAAAAAAAACAAGCACACAACACATTTTTTAATTTCTCCATTTATGGATCACAAAAAGTCAACATTCGACCAAACGTGAAGTCAAGCTGACGTGCTTTCCGGCCAGACCACGAAAAGTGCGAAATTCTCCTTTATACCTATACACTACACAGGGTGCCACATTGATTCAGGGAAACGGTGCAGCCAGTTTCCTGTTGAGAAGTTCATTGATCTAGAGGATATCCCAAAACCGAAAAGGGGCTCTGCAAATCCCTCCCCAGTCAAGCGCGGGTTAATAACAGCGCAGCACGTTGGTAATTATGGCTGGGGAGCCTTGACAACAAAAGCCACAGCAGGCCGCCACCGAGCGAGCAGCCCGCAGGCGCATGCAATTAACGCCGCCGGGTGGGTAGGGGCGTGCAGAGCGCTCACCATTGAGCATACACACCTTGTCCGCAATTCGTCGTCTATATATTGCAACAAACTCCTGTCGAGAGAAAGACGCGTTTTCTCAGCGGGTCCATCATAACAGCACATTGGATAGAGCTCGGTTTTAACTTATGGCGTTAGGTTATAAAAACAATGAACCCAGCCAGCCATCCCAAATGGGGCCCACATGGGCTGGAAATGGGGAATCTGGGCGAATGTGGGCTGGGCTACATCTGGGTATGTCATGGGCGTCCAACCGGGTCCCAGATGGGCTGAATGGGCTAACTTCACGTGCCGGACTTGGCCAGCGCCTCCACTCTTTAACACGCGCACTGCAGCGGGTCTGAGCCGAACACGAACTGCAGGGGGGGGGGGGTTGAAAACAACCCCCCCTGAGATCTCGAAAACGGCGCAACGTAGCGACAAGCGGTAAACGGCGTTGGATAGGTTAAGATGAGATCGACAAGAAATACTAAGATCATTTTTGGGTCAGGTCAAAAACGAGGTCACCAGAGGTCACCGAAGACAAAATGTTACGATTTTCACAACAGGAATTTCGCGGTAGTTTTTCTTGAATAACTTGTCTTACACACAAGATAGAGGATCGATTCGAACGCCATCGTTCTTAGCTCGTCAAGGCGCATCGAATGATATATAATATGACCTCGAAAGGTCAAGTTGAAAATTTGACCTCAGGTCAAGGTCATGACCTGACCGAAATAGGTCATGTTGCATATCATTCGATCCGCATTGACGAGAAAAACACGATAAACGTCGAACGGAGTCTCTATCTCTACTCAATCTCAAGTTATTGAAGAAAAACCGCTGGTGACCTCAGGTGACCTAAGATGACCTGGAGATCACCTTCCAAAGGTCATAAGTGATATGTTTCGGTGAAATCACCAACAGGGACCTGTAATACTATGATCCTGAGCGTATTGAAGTCATAGGATGCCATTCAGAGTAAGTTGAAATTTCTCCCATTGACTTTTTTTTTCTCCCATTGATTTTTGCGACCACGGCCGGTCGCAAAAATGACCTGACCTTAGGTCATCGATATAAAAATTCCGAGATATACAAGTTGTAGCTCGTGATGACTTTACTATTTCCTGTGGGTTTCAAGATCATATCTCAACAACTGTGGGCTTGGTGGGATTACAAACTTCGAAATTTACGTTTCGAGGTAGGGTCACTTGACCTGACCTGGTGACCTGACCATAGGTCACCTGGGGTCAAAATTTTTACTCAAGGTGTGCAAAAGTCGTGAGAACAGGTATGCAAAATTTGGCGGCGCTACGCGCCGCCGTTTTCTCGCAATTTGCGAAAAACCACAGGGGGGGGGGGTTGAAAACAACCCCCCCCCCTGCAGTGCGCGTGTTAAACTCAGAGTGAGACGAACTGGAGTTACGGAGAATGTGTCTGCGCACTCTACAGCACGCATGCCTATCGTTACTTTGTTAGTTTCAGCATACCTATATGTAGTGATCTGTGTCGCTACCCTGCCAGACTCCTGATCTGGCAGCCGCCTGGGCACACCCCTACCCGCGTCCCTGCGAGGTCGCTGATACCAAGCTGATACTAACCCGGCTTACATAGCATATTTGACGAGGCTCTAGCTCGTTAATTTGGCGATAATTTCGATGCAGTGTTCTATTTAGAGGGGATCATTTTGTAAGTTGTTAAGTACCATACCATTGGCATCTTTTGCAACATCACGGACGGAGATATAAGCTTGCAACAAACCCTATGTAAACCGGGTTACTGTGTCGCCGGGTTCGTTGTGTGGTGGCGCGGCCGCGGGGCGGCCGCGCCGGCAGTTGGTGACTATAAATAGACGCAATACGACGCTGACGGACCGCTCGGGACTCTACAGTATCGTTACAAACTCTTCTCCTTTTTCACAATAGGTACCTACGCATCCACGCTTCCGTTCTCTACCGGCCGCCGGCCGGTAGAGTGGTAGCGTAGTGTAGTGGTTAGGGTTCCCGCATCATAATCCATAAGTCTTGAGTTCGAATCTCTGGGGATCTAGTGAGAGGCAAAGGGTACGCGGTTCTTCCACGTGTTACCAAAGGGGCATTCCATGTCAAATCGAACAAAAATCGGCTGTTTTGCACCTTATCATCATTACCATATTTTTGATAAAATTCACCTGAGGTCAGGTCAGTCAAGTGACCTTACCATTTAAGTCAATGGGGGAAATATGGATTGGAAACATCTATTTTTGGGCGAGAAATGATTCAAGACTATCCCACGCACATGGAATCAAGCTTTCATAGTTCATACACACCTTGCGACGTTTGTTGCAAAATATTTGCATTGTTGACTTTGCGTGACGTCATATATGACGTAAATAAGGTTATCGAACTTTTCCCATCAATAACTCCTAAACGAATTGAGCTATCCAGTTGGAAAAGCCGCCTATGGACTTAGAAAGTCCTGCCAGATCGAATGATATGCAGCATGGATTATTTTGACCAGCCTTGTGTCCTGAGTGGCTTCGACCTGCCCTTGACCTGAACTCTGAGCTCTTGGGAGCGATTGCCGTGGTTCAATGTTTTGCGTCGAAATCGGCCGAACAAGACGTCACTCTGACGTCATTTCTGGCCGACCTATGATAGATACGAAGATCAAATTTTGACACAAGGTGTCAAATTGATGCAGCCGAAGGTACTGAAAGTTTGGCGTCAATACGTCACGCGGTTTGGAAGTTACTGCAGAAAAACGGGAGAGGGGCTATAAATAGCCCCCCCCCCCAGTGGGGCGCGGGTTAACCCGGCAGGCGGTGGGCCTACCAGCCACCTTCCGCGCGGTGGGGGGGGGGGCATTTTTTTGCCCCCCCCCCGTACCTATCTCCGAAACTACTGGACGGATCCGGAAAATTCAAACGGCGTTCGATAGCCCTGTCAAATTTGTCAGGGAAACCAAATTTCATTGACCTCGGGGTCACCGATGACGTCACAGGTCAGGTCAAAGATAAAATGTTTCACCGTTCACGAGGCTTATAGGTGAAAGCGCTATAACACCGAGTAAAACGCATTTTGTCGAAAATCAGCGATAAGGCGCCAGTTGTCTAGTACATATGTTGCTATTAGAGGTCACTGGTCATACCAGGTCAGGTTACAGGTTAGGTCACCAAAGGTCACCAAGGGTCACCACATGAGCCCAACTTTACTAAGGTTATGCGATGCATGTTTTATGGCCAGTTTTTCATTTCCAACTCAATGGTGTTGGTTATAAGACCATTAGGTACGGTTTAGGTCACTTTCTGGTGGAGGTCAGGTCAAAAAAGGTCAAATTTCAAAGTTGATATTTTTGCATAATAAGCTCGTCACGGGGAGTCTAATGGTGGTCTTTGTTTTGCGCTACTAGGTCTAGAATTGCTAAAAATTGAGTTTGAAAATTTGACGTCATCAATTTTGAACAGTTTTTTCGCTATAACTTGGCCAAAAAAAGAGGTATCGATCTCAAATTTGGTATGTAGATAGAAGGCGGTAGGAACTATCACATATATTCCGGTTTTTCTAAAATCAAACAACTTTTTGGATTTTTTGGCTATTATAATCAAAAAATCTATTTTTCTTATTTTTGGGGGTCAAAATCCAAAAAAAAATCGAAAACCGAAATAGCAGTTTTTAGCCCTTTTGATTTCACACCTTTTATGTCTGAAACATTTTCTGTATCTCTAAGGCTGTAGGCCTGACAGCTGGGGCATTCCACGATAGATCGTACCAGGCCCGTCACCCTAATCTCTCAGATTTTAATGAAAATCGGTCCTAGGGGTAATCATAGGCCCCAAAGACGCCTGGCAAAATATCAGACTTCTCAGATCAAAACTTTTTGAGTTATATTGCATTACATTTTTTTAACTTCGGTATGTAACGGTGAGTTTGATGGCCTATAACTCAAGAACGGGTTAAGCAACCAACAAAAAGTAAACAACACTAAGCTTGCGATGAACCAAAAATTAATATTACTATTTAAAAATTCCAAAGAAAAATTTTCATTGTTGAGCAAAAACCTTAATCTTTTTTCATTTGCCTCTAATGACTTTTGGGACCAAAATTTTTCACATCTTTATTTTTTCAAAATAATCTTCATGTCATTGCAAATCGACATGCAAAAAATTAGAAAGGTGTTCTTTCTATAAGTTCCTCATTTTCCCGCAAACAAAATGGGTTTCGGAGGGGTTGATACGACCCCAGCACGCCGTTTCGCTTCTAATAGAGCTAGAGCCTCGCGGAAAAAACGAGCGTGTGTGCCGTTACAAGTCGCAGCGATTGGTACCCGATTTTAAGGTCTCAGGTTAACCGGTAGCGTCTGAGGTCAGGTCACGTGACTGAAATTACGGGTTCGGTTTTTAGTAAATAACTTCGCAAAAAATGGTCGCAGAGCCGCGATTTTGGCATCATTGTGTTCGCCTAGATCAGGTGCATCGAATGGTATACTTTTTGCTAGGGTGAGGTCAACTTAAGTAGTTGACCTCGGGTCAAGGTCAGGTCAGAGCCTCTCAGGTCACGAAGCTGGGCAAAGGGTATCATATGGCATATCATTCGATTCGGAAGGTCTTCCCGAGTCCATTGGTGGCTTTCCCGACTCTCTAGCTCCATTAGATCGGGAGTTATTGACGAAAAACTCGTACGTCCCTAGTGACGTCATAAATGACGTCACGCAAGGTTAACAATGCAAAAGTAAAGCATTGGACTTTGCAAGGAGTGCATGAAATCACGATACCATGTACGTGGGATAGTTTTAGATCATTCTCGGCGCCAAAATAACAGTTTTTTATATTTCCCCATTGATTTATAAGTGATGTCACGTGACCGACCTGACCTCATGTAACCTTGAAAAATTCCCAGATATACAAGTTGTGAGACCTCTGGAGGACACCATGTATGCGTCCTGTAACTTTCATCTCGGACAGCTATGGTCATTGGCGTCCAAAAACAATGTCAGAACCAAACAGCCTTTTTCACCCTCGCGCTTATAGGAAAGAGGGTTGAATGAACCCTCTTTTCACTTTTTCAGATGACTCAGACTTGAATTGAAATTTCAGTA